TCCTTGCTGTCCCAAGGAGGAGATGAAGAAATGTGCAAGCCCCTGGAGAAGGATACCCTCCTGTCTCCTGAAGCCTTAGTGTCCTTCTCACTGCCACCCTGGGGAGACTCAGCCCTCCAGATCTTACAGCCAGATCTTACAGATCTTACTTTTCTGAGAGCCTGGGAAGATGATCTCTGGAAGCTGAAAACATGTAAGCTTGAGACGCCTGTCTGTGATAAACAGATACTGGGAATTAAGTGCTTCAATACTTTTGTGGTCCTGGATTTTTAATTAAATCTCAGGGCTGAAAGCTGGATTTTTCCTTTCTTTCTATCTGTTTTTGTTTTAAGTTCACTCTTGAATCAGAAAATATGGTGAATTGAATGCAGTTTTTATAAGGGGGAGGTTTTCTTCTTACGAAGTAAACACTGTGGACAAAAAAATCAATATGGCCTTAGCAGGCACTGCACACATCAGTCAGGTAGTTGGGTATGCTGGTCAAGCAGCACTTGTGCAGGTGATCTCTAGTGAAGAGTAAATGTGTGGCTTTGCTCCCTACTGACAAGTCTCAGGAGCTCTGAGAACCCGTGCACCCTTGATGAGCAGAGCTGCATAAGATATTGTAAGAGACTTAAGAGCACAATTGCCTTAAACACCAATCACAGAATCACAGAATCACAGAATCACAGAATCACAGAATCACAGAATCACAGAATCACAGAATCACAGAATCACAGAATCACAGAATCACAGAATCAGCTAGGTTGAGAAAAAACTCTGAGATCATTGAGTCTACCCAATGACTGAACACCAGCCTGTCAACCAGACCACAGCACTAAGAGCCATGTCTAGTCTTTCTTCAAACACCTCCAGAGACAGTGACTTCACCACCTACCTTGGGCACTCCGTTCCAATACCCAAAATTACCCTTTCTGTGAAGAGTTTTTTTCTAATGTCCAGCCTAAACTCCCCTGGTACAGCTTAAGATTTTGTCCTCTTCTGTTACTGGTTGCCTGGGAGAAGAGACCAACCCCCACCTGGCTATACCCTTCTTTCAGGGAGTTATGGAGATCGATAAGGTCACCCCTGAGCCTTCTCTTCTCCAGGCTAAACAACCCCAGCTCCCTCAGCTGCTCCTCATAGGACCTGTGTCCCAGACCATTCACCACACTTGTTGCCCTTCTCTGGACACGTTTGAGCATCTCAAGTAAAATCCTCCCTAAATTGAGGGGCCCAGAACTGGACACAGCACTCAAGGTGAGGCCTCACCAGTGACAAGTACAGGGGAAGAATGACCTCCCTGGTCCTGCTGGACACACCATTCCTGATACAGGCTAGGATGCCATTGGCCAGTTTGGCCCCCTTGTCACACTGCTGGCTCATATTCAATCAGCTGTCAACCAGTACCCCCAGGTCCCTTTCTGCCTGGGCACTGTCCAGCCACTCTGTCCCCAGCCTGTAGTGCTGCAGGAGTTGTTGTGACTCAAGGGCAGGACCTGGCACCTGGACTTGCTAAACCTCATATCATTGGATTCAGCCCACCTACCTAGCCTGTCCAATTCCATCTGCAGAGCCCTCCTTCCCTCTAACAGATTCAATACTCACACCCTATTTGGTGTCATCTCAAATTTGCTAATGGTGGACTCAATCCCCTCCTCTGGACCATTAATGAAGGTATTAAGCAGGACTGGCCCCAGCACTGATCCCTGGGGAGCTCCACTAGTGATTGACCCCCAGCTGGATGCAGCACCATTCACCTTCACTCTTGGGCACGGTCATGCAGTCAGTGTCTAACCCATCAAAGAATGATCCTGTCTATGCTGTGGGCTGCCAGTTTTTCCAGAAGTGTGCTGTGGGTGAAAGTGTAAAAGCTTTGCTGAAGTTCAGGTAGTCAACACCCACAGGCTTCCCTTCATCCACCAGGTGGGTCACCTCGTAACTCATAAAAGGAGATCAGGTGAGTCAAACACAATCTTCCCCTCCTATCAGCTGTCCTCTAGGTACTGTGTCATTGCACTCAAGATGACCTGTTCCATAATCTTACTGGGCACCAAGGTCAGGCTGACAGGCCTGCAGTTTCCCATGTGCTCCTTCTTGCCCTTCTTATGGATAAGCATCATGTTGGCCAACCTCCAGTCATCAGGGACCTCCCTGGTTACCCAGGACTGATGGTAAATAATGGAAAGCATCTTGGTGAAGTCTTCTGCCATCTCCCCCATCACCCTAGGATGGATCCTGTCTGGTCTCATAGACTTGTGAGCATCTAAGTGGCCCAGCAGGTCATTAACTGCTTCCTCCTGGATGACAGGGGAGGCTATTCTGTTCCCTGTCCCCATCTACCAACTCAGGAGGCCAGTTGTCCTGAGGACAACCTGTCTTATTGTTGAAAATTGACTAAGAAGATGTTAGGTACCTCAACCTTTTCCTCATCTTTGGTAACTATATTCCCCCCGCTTGTCCAATTAAGAATGGAGGTTCTCCTTGCCCCTCCAAGATATGTTAAGATCACTGAAGGACTTTGCCCACTGTGGCAAACTCTCCAAAGAAACAACTGCTCATCTGTGATGACTGAAGCTCCCCCTCACTGAATATGCTTCTGTGAAACCTGGGCTGTGAGTTAATCCATCTGAGAGGAACACGAAATAAGATTGTCTGGGAGTTATTTCAGACTAGCAGGAGGAAAACATAGATACTGGAGGAGCACTCATACTGGACAGAAAGTATCCACACAGAAAGCCAACTCAGCAACAGTGCTGAAAATCAGCTCTGAGTGGGTAACTCTGTAGCCAATGAGCATTAATTCCTTTGTTCACTAAAATGCATAAATAGTTAAAAAATTTGAACACCTTAGGAACCATACCAGCAAGAAGACCACGGTGAAGAAGGATGCAACAGGATGCTTTCTGGATCCAAGTATGGTGACAGCTTTTTGCTTAAACTGCCTTACTCCTTCTCTCCCTCTGGCCCTCCTCTCTTTCCTACTCCTATCTCTCTCTCTACTTCACTGTTTACTGTTAAATAAAATCCATACTATTGACTTTGATACATGGTATTGTCTGCACTTTAATTCCTCTGTAGATGTTCACAGATGAAAAGAAATGGCAAAAACCAAAAGGGTCCAAAAAAACCTCACTAATTTTTATTAACTACACACTCAGCATGGCAATTGGTACATGTTTTGGTATACGTTTTGTTTAGTAGTAAGAAAAACAAAAGAATAAAATAGGAAAGAAGGGAAAAATAAATCAGGTAGGAGAGGAAAGATGTTCACAGTTCTGTGTCCAGCATTGATCCAGGCAACAGGTTTCCAAGTGTTGGGGGTTTAATGTTGGGGGTTAAATTGTTCCCTTTTGTTTCTAGAATTTTTCCCATTGCTATGCTAAATATTTGTGGCTACACCTTAGTAGTAAGAGTTTTCTCTCACAGCGGGGTGGGGACGGGGAATACCGGAAAAGGAAAGGTGGGACAGGAGGGCCTGCTCTCTCTCTCGCTCGAGGAGTCGGAGGAAGACGGCTGGAGCTCCTACCTACCATCCTCCCCGCCATCCCAACGCTGGGAGCCACATTCCCTGCCGTTGGACATCGCTCTGCTGCTCTCCCACCTCATCCTACTACCTCTAGACACTCTGCCGAGCACCACGACCGACACCGTGAGGGGGGAATCGCTCCCCCATCCCTCTCACCCCTGGGCCGCTGCCGCCATCACCCAGCCCTCTTCAACTGCGCGGGACCTGCCCTGCCCCCACAGCACCGGGAACTGAGCGCAGGGAGAGAGGGCCTTGGCCAAAGGGACTGGAACTGAGCTATACTGTTCTGTTCTGTTGTCAATTTTTATAGCTGTTGTTGTTTCTGCTGTTTGTCTTGTTAGATATATTAGTAAAGAACTGTTATTCCTACCTCCCATATCTTCTGCCTGAAAGCCCCTATTTCGAACTATAATAACTGGAAGGGAGGGAGTTGCACTCTCCATCTAAGGGAAGGGGTTCTTGCCTTCCTGTAGCAAATACCTGTCTTTCAAACCAAGACACCAGAGTCCCAAGAGAATGCCACCCAGCCTCTGTGGTGGTACATTTTTATAGGTAAGTTTTCCCCTGGTTTTAGGGGAAAAGCAGTTTTTTCTGGTTTTAGGTTTCTCACTCTTCATGCAAAAGAGTTAGCATGTACAGCCCACTATTCTGGACCTTTCTGGATACAGGCTGGGGGGCTTTGAGAGTTTTTTGGTGGTCTTGATTCTCCCTCTATTGGTCTTGCCCACTCCTTGACCCCACTCCTGCACTTAAACTGTCCTTTATGTTGTGTGATCACCATGGACTGGAAGGGGAAATTCAGCTCCAGAATGCTGCTGCCTTACCTTCATATGGCTCCCCTTTCCAGGCACATCCTGTTACAACTTGACTGCTTGATGGCTGTTGGTGTTTAGGGCACAGCAGTGCATTAACTCTTTACTGCTTAGGTTTCTACATTGGTCAAAAAACCCAGTTACCATCTGATAGGGACAAAAATTATCCTTAGGGCATAGAAGGGCTTCACATTCTTAATGACAGGGCAACATCTTCACCTTTTTTTTCTTTTCTCGTTTTCCTAGTGTTGTGCTTCTTGCACTTGTTGCAGACTTAAGGTGCCAGATGCTAATTTTCCACTGTAGATGTATCAATATCTGTAGGGAAAGCATTAATCTGTACAGAAAGGAATGTGAAGCCAAATTCTTCCTAGATGAGGATGAAGGGATCCCTGAGTTCAGGGCTGCTTGGGCAATGATCAAGCCAGTAGGATTTTATAAAATTTGGATGCAGGGTATTCTCAGAGCAGAAAGTACAAGTATCTTTTTTTTTTTTTTTTTTTTTTTTGCTTACAATTCAAAATTTAATTTAGTTTAATGAAATTCAAATTAATATAACTCAGAAGGGTTGTGGTCCACTATAGCCCGAACTGCAGCTGGCTCATTCTGCTGCTCCAAACATTTTTCCCTTTAGGAACTGCAAGATATCCTTCAGCAGATTAAAGAATTGCAGCAGCTTGTCACGTGGAAATGGACAGGGTTGTGTTGTACTTGGAGGTAATGTCTGCAGAGGGGTTGAGGTGTAGGCTGGCGCTGGTGCTGGAGTAACTGCTGGTGCTCCGGATCCAGTTGTAGAAGTACTGAGTGGAGCTGAAGACTGAAGGCCGTTTAGGTCTAGCACAGCCTATTCCCCAGCTGGTCACACCAATTTGCCAGAAAAAGTCACCACTCTTATCTTGGCAGACAAGAGGCCCCCCGCTGTCACCCTGAAGCAGAGCAGAGAGGATTAAGGTGCTTTTGTGTGCCTGTCAGCAGTTAGAGTTGGGTCCTTTACTTGTCCTTTACTCTCCCAGCCCCTGCTGGAGAACTGGATTCCAGGCAGAGCAAGGCTCTGCCCAAGTGCGGGAACCTGCAGAACCTTGACACCCTTGGGAGCAGGTTGAGGGGCTGTAAGCTAGGGCTCTCTGTCTCCCCTGTGCTTGGATGTTTCAGGGTTGGCAAGGACCCACGGATGGGAAAGGGGGCAGAAGCTCCAGCAGAGGTGTAGAACTGGGGCTGGGAGAGCGACTGGCCAGGGAAAGCAGGCGCTGGGCTGTGCTTGGGTGGTGGGGCTGCCCACACTGCTGGGGGCTGCAGGACTCATAGCATGCTCCTACCTGGCAAGTGCCAACGCCGCCTTGCCCAGCACACACGTTGAAGTCAAAGATGTACCCTGGCAGCCAATCGCTACTGTTGCAGAGCCGGTTATCCACGACGTGGACCTTGGCCTGCTGCAGGATATCTTTACCTGTGGCTGTGAGCAGAGAAAGAAATGAGCTCCCAGCAGCTCCTTGCTCATTCTCCTGGCCTGTCTGTGTGTTGAAGTCCTTCCTTAGGGCTTAGCTCTGTCTCTAGAGGGGTGTTGGAGTGCTATGTCACTGCTGTCTGGTGGTGGGCAGCAGGCTAGGCCCATCTCTCCCGAGGCGTATGTCCCACAGGCCAACTCTCATTTTGACCTCTGCTGTCAGGAAGCCCCAGCCATCTCTCCCTGGTGTTCTGAGCTTGCCCTCAGGGCACAGGTCCTTTATGGGAACTCACATTTTACAATTCTGTCACCCCAGCCAGCAACGTAACAGTTTTTCAGCTCCGACACTTTCACTGAAGGACCAGGCAGGCAGGCGGTCTGAATAGAGGAGCTGCACTGTACTGGCCTGTCCAACTCCAGCAAGGCGACGTCGTTATACACAGGCATAGAATTATATTTTTCGTGTATGATCAGCCGCTTAATCCGGCGCACTTCCACATCAGGGACTGACTGGCTCAACGAGGTGGCCCCAAGCACGATGGCCCACTCGCTGAAGGGACTGGAAGGCAGATGGAGAGAGGGGTGAGAGGAAGTCATATGCTGTGACAGCCCAGCACTTCCCTGCCTTCTGCTTCCTGAGGCAAAGAGGAAAATAGCACTACAGAGAGAGAAAGTAAGTTCGAGATATGTTAAACTGGAGGCTGCTAGGAAGCAGTGGCATGAGCCCGGTCCTCTCCCTGAGCAGTCTCTCAGCTGGGCCCTACAATGTCCTGGCACTAGGCACAGTGCCAGGAAATGGGATGGGAATAGCACACACTGGTGGTGTGGGGATATCCCTGTGCCCAGGTCCTCCTTACATTGAGATGTTTTCAAAGCAGTGGGCTGCTGAGAGAATCCATTTCGCGCTGATGAGGGTCCCTCCACAGACATGTACAGAGAGAGGTGGTCTCCAGACGGGGCGGATACTGGCAATGCCAGCCCAGGCCCCATAACCTGGCAGGACATCTATGCCTCCCACAATGCGTGATGAGTCGACGGTAGTACCCATGGGGCGGAGCCCACAGGTCTGCCTGTAAGCAGAAAGTCATTACAGTCCTGTGAAAAGGCTTGCTGCTTTGCAGGCTGAAGGTCAACCAGCTTCCCTTCCCACAAGGCCTTGGTTGCAAAGCCAGCACAGCCAGGGAACTTCCTGGGAAGTGCATATGTCTGCCTATTTCTGCTTTAGCCCTGTAGACAAGTGATGCCAGCAGCCTGGGCGCTGGTAATAAACTGAGACTCCCACCCAGCGTTTTAGAAATTGGTATGGCCAAAAGTGGCAAGGAGGTATCCTCAGGGAACCCCTCTAAGTTTTAGTCTGGGCCCCCTCAGAGTCTGGGGCAACTTACCCACAGGCACCATGTGCAGGCCCACACAGAGCCAGTAGGATGAGGATGCACAACAAAATCATTGCTGTCAGAGACACAAGTCAGCAGTAAGGAGAGAGAGAGCTTGTCACCTCCAGTGCAGCTGCCAACGTACTGCCCGCAGAATTTGCAGTGCTGCAGTGCCCTTGGCCCTGGGGCTGATGTCACAGAGGGACTGGTTCCACGTTCTGGGCATGGTGCTGGCCTCTGGCGGCAGGGGAGAGGGGCAACGTAGAGGCACAGAACCACAGAAAAGTCTGGATTGGAAGGTACCCTAAGGATCGACAGGTTTCAAACCTCAGCCGTGCACACAGATGCCTTCCACTACACCAGGCTGCTCAGAGTCCCACCCAAGCTAGCCTCAAATGATGAAAGGAATGGGACATCCACAGCTTCTCTGGGCAACCTGTGCCAGTACTGTGACAATGATACAAGATCTTGCTTGTAATCCAAAACTCCTACAGAATTTGCAGCAACAATTAAAAGAAACACACATTCTGATTTTTAAAAACAATTTGTGACATTGTTTTCATTTGCTTTGCTTGAGACAGATCAACTAAACAAATATAACTGTCTCAAGGCCTAAGCTCTTTTGGTGTTGTTTAGAAATCAACTACGAAGAATTCTAATTAAAAGTAATTTTCCATCAAGAAACCATAGCCCTTTGCAGCTGAGCCTGTTTATTTAGTTGCTTCTATTGGACTGCTAACTGCTCAACAGCTTACCCCTATTTCGAGGGGTACAACAGAGGCTGCCATTTCAACTACTGCCAACAAGTTTCTCTCTTTGATTACCAAATTCCAATTTTCTTAGCTTTTCTTTGATGAAGTTCAGGGAAGACCAAGGAGATGGCACGTTCCTGCCCAGAGTCCAATTTCAAGTTCCCTGGTGTGCTATACAGCACACAAATAGAAGGACCAGGTGTCAGCAGCCTAAGACACTGCATTTTCAGCTGCTATCCCCAGGACCCTGAAGCACCCAGGACCTGTAGTCCTTTATTCCACTGCACCTTTGCCCTTCTCTGTGAGTGGGCACAGTTCTGGCCCTTTGGAGGGACCCTTTCCCTTTGTGCCTGACATGCCTGCCCACAGGTGCATTTTGCAGATCCCAGCTCAGGGAGGCCTTGCCTTGCATAGGGGAATGAGGGGAACTGCAAACATGGTTATCTGTGAAAATAGGTATTTTCTTTAGGCCACTGAAGGCCACTTTATTTCTACAGCAACTAAGTCACCATCACTCATTGTGCACATGTGGAGGAGGATTGTGGGCAGGACAGTGTAGGCCTTCAGCACTGAGGCTGCCTTTGGATCAGCAGGCATTGCTCCAGAAGGAAAGGGCTGTGCCTCACTGCAGCCTGAACTGCCACCAATCAATCCTTCCCTAACATGCCTTAGGCTCCCACCTTCAAATTTCAGTTGGACTTGAGTGCAAGATGAGGCTGGGTTTTTGTTCCTTTGAACTCCATCAATCTGGTAATCCCCTTCCCCTGCCTTGGTTACAGGGGAAAAGAGAAACAAAACTATTTATTTCAGTTTGTTGCTGTAGTTCTTTGGCTTTTAAGGAAGAAATGTTCTTCATGCAGTGCCAGCAGTGGTATTTTGGGTGAAGCGGGCATGAGCTCTAGGCCTTTGGCTTTTGCAAAGGGAAAAAGAGGGGAAAAAGAGATAAAAAGAGGAAAAAAGAGGAAAAAAAAGAAAGAGAAAAAAATAGAAGATAAAAAAAGAGGATAAAGGTTTCCCTTTAAGTGTGTTTGCACCTGAACCTCGTGTGGCTGAAGTCTCACCCTTGCAGGCTCTTGAGGGCCTTTGCTGTTGATGGCCACGTCCCATGGCCAAGTGTGATCTAGGGAGGCCTGCAGGTGTCACCTTTGGACACTGAAAGTTGTCCTGTGGTCAAAACCGTGAGTTTTTGGTTTTCCTCTAGTTTGCCACTTGCCCCAGTTTGGAAATTCCCTCTCCCCATTGATCCCCCTTCTTTTTCCCCCGTAGGAAGTGCAGAAACAAGGCAGAAAATATATTTTTGGTCTGAAACTCTCAGCCTCTCCCTCTATAATAAACATTTTTGGATTTCCTCTGCATACAATATAAGTGATATTATAGGCTGTTTTATATGGGTACGGGAAAAACTACAAGCCAGTGTTTTTAGAACTGTGCCTGGAGGAGAAGCCAGAGGTTCTGGTGTGAGCCTTCATCACAGCACTGGATAATTCATAGTTTGATTTTTCACAGAGGCTGCTCCTAACTTGGAGAGAAGAGTGATGTAACGGCTGCAGATGCTGGCTGTGGTTTTCCTTGTTTTTTGCTCTTGAGTTCATGATCATGATGCTGATTTGATCTTGTCATCTTGTGCCATGCAAAGAATTAAACAAATCTGAGTTGTCCGGCCAAAACTGAAATTTAAGAAGTGGTTTCCTAATTTCAGGAACACTTGTTGCCAGCTCTTGTTGCAAAGCTGGAGCAGAATGGACTTGGGAGAAAGGACAGGTCTGCACCATTGAGAGATGCAATGAAAATGAAGTTGAGAGCAGTTAGTATTTCCTCCTTAGATGGATGCAGTGATTTTATTATCAAGAGCAAGTGCCAGTTTTTTGCAGACCTCTGAATCCTGTGCAAGGGTGTGTAGACACCACTGGTCATGCACAGCCACTGGCATCACGAACCCAAGGGCTGAAAGCATCAGAAAGGACAACTTTGCTCCAACACAGCAGGATACTACTGTAACAATCTACATCACTCACTAACCTCCTTGGGGCTATCTATGTGGGCACTATGTGAAGTCTTCTGCAGGCAGGCCCATGTGGCTAGTTGTTCTTCTGAGGGAAAGTAGCATTGTTTAGCAAGATGACCTTTTTCCAGACTTTTTTTTTTTTAAGGCAGCTTAAGTGCATAATTTAGCTAAATGCATCTTCCTTAGAGGGATCCTGCCTTTAGAAATGGAAGTGTGGGGGAAGAAACCAGTCTGTACTTATGCAGAGGAGAAATAGATGTTTCTCCTCCGTGATTCTGGGCCAGCCTGCACAGATCTAGGGGTAAGGGCCTAGCCCAGTAATAATGGCTGAACTGGTGTGCATCTGATGCCCACTTGGAATGTGAGCATGATAGGCACAGTAACAGCATGGAGCTTTGTCTCCTATCCTCAGACATCCCATCCCAGTGGGTGCAATTCATCCTCAGGACCAAGTAGGATGAGCAGCACATCCCTCATGACCTGTTCTCTGAGCTGTATGAAATCTGTATGAAAGACGCTGAAGATGCTGAGTGGAAAGAAATGGCAAGGTAAATCCTGCTTGTCAGCTGCTCTGGGAGAGAAGTGCCCATGCTGGCAGTACCCTTGGGGCTCTGCTTTCTGCTCTCTGGAACACTCTCTGCAGCTGCAGGTGCTGATGTGAGCAGCCTTCTCCTCTTGCTACCCCAGAGCTTTAGCAACAGAGTTTGAGATCTGGAGCTGAAGAGGTGAAAGACAGTATCAAGTGCAGGATTAAGCTCTATGTGGCCACTCTGTCCTTGCACAGCGTCTGAGCAGAGGAGCTGCACCACCAACGAAAGGAAGCTGCTGGACAATTGTGCCAATAGCATCAAAGACACTGAAGGCAATGTGGGAGGCTCATGCCTCTGGGAGTGGCCAAGCTTGGTTTGTCACACAGCCTTTCACTCCCAAATCAACCCTGCCCCAATGATATATCCATTTTCAGAAGTTCCACTGTTTCTTTAAATTCTGTAGCCATCCCTCTAGCACTGCTAGACTGCCTCACTAAGTCAATTCATAAGGCGTCCAAGGAAACATCTGCTTACTACACTTCAGCCTATTAGTCTGCATTTTGTACAGCCCCTAAATACTGAAGTGTCCTTCACTTACTAAGTACTACTTAGTAATACTACAAATTCCATAATCCTGCATAATAACCTGGGTTAGCTTGAAGAGTTCATGTTTTTATCCTGCACCTATGGCTAAGCTTAACTAGCCCTACTAGCCAGCCATACTCACACTAGCCCTAACCAGAATCCAGCTAATGGGACATCCAACTCTCTGGCTCTTACGGTGGAGTGGCAGTCCTTACCTTCCCTTGGAGGCCTTTTCACAGCCCTCCTATCGCTGGGTTTCTGCTCTTTGTCTTGCACTGACACCTCACTCTTTTCCTGACCCTCATCCTGCCCTAAGCCCATGTCCAACATGTCTGCCTTGCACCACGTCTTAGCCACTTCTGTCTTCATCAATTCCCAATACCCTCAAAAAAAGGAGAATTATATTTAAGCATTTCTCATGGAAGGAGAAATTGTCTCCAGTACAACTTATAATAGGGCTGGAGACTCCCTAACAGAAAAACAATTAAAAAACATCTACAACTGACATAACAGAAGTCTGCATATACAACAAATGGTAAAATGAAAAAAAAACCTCCCCAACTTTCCAGATTTTCTTGGTACATTTTCCTGTCTAAAACTCAGCCCCATGTTATTGTTTCATAGTTGTCACTAAAGCATTTTAATAGAATAGTAGATTTTTAAAATTCCAGAGCAGAAATCAGGAGGAAGATGGGATCCTCTTCCATAGTTTTGATTTTACATGTTTTAAGACTCAATACTGTGGCCAGGGATGAAATAAAACAGATGTGAGGGTACAGCAGGGATAGAAAAGTGGAAGTTTA